GAGCCGAGACCTCAGTATGAGCAGCGACTAGAGGAGTCGAGGGCTGACCCGAGACCTCAGTATGAGCAGCGACTGGGGGTGTCGAGGGCCGAGCCGAGACCTCAGTATGAGCAGCGACTAGAGGAGTCGAGGGCTGACCCGAGACCTCAGTATGAGCAGCGACTGGGGGTGTCGAGGGCCGAGCCGAGACCTCAGTATGAGCAGCGACTAGAGGAGTCGAGGGCTGACCCGAGACCTCAGTATGAGCAGCGACTGGGGGTGTCGAGGGCCGAGCCGAGACCTCAGTATGAGCAGCGACTGGGGGTGTCGAGGGCCGACCCGAGACCTCAGTATGAGCAGCGACTAGAGGAGTCGAGGGCCGAGCCGAGACCTCAGTATGAGCAGCGACTAGAGGAGTCGAGGGCTGACCCGAGACCTCAGTATGAGCAGCGACTGGGGGTGTCGAGGGCCGAGCCGAGACCTCAGTATGAGCAGCGACTAGAGGAGTCGAGGGCTGACCCGAGACCTCAGTATGAGCAGCGACTGGGGGTGTCGAGGGCCGAGCCGAGACCTCAGTATGAGCAGCGACTAGAGGAGTCGAGGGCTGACCCGAGACCTCAGTATGAGCAGCGACTGGGGGTGTCGAGGGCCGAGCCGAGACCTCAGTATGAGCAGCGACTGGGGGTGTCGAGGGCCGAGCCGAGACCTCAGTATGAGCAGCGACTAGAGGAGTCGAGGGCCGACCCGAGACCTCAGTATGAGCAGCGATTAGAGGAGTCGAGGGCCGACCCGAGACCTCAGTATGAGCAGCGACTAGAGGAGTCGAGGGCTGACCCGAGACCTCAGTATGAGCAGCGACTGGGGAAGTCGAGGGACCAGTCCTCGCAAACGCCTGAGAACCGATATCAGGAAGGGGATAGTTCACTGCATTTAGGAGGCGAGCATCGGTGGCGAATGCCTGATCACAATTATAACGATCATTCCACATCGGACATGATCGAACCGACTCCAGAGATGCAATGTAGGAGTACAGGAGTGAACCCCGGCCCGAGGGTACAGTACAACACGTCCATCACGCAGACATCTACCAGTCAGAGCAAAAGTGTGTCGAACATTACAACGATAGTTGCGGGAGAGCGAGAGTCAATAGAAAGCACCGATGTAGCTGTAAGCCGACGTAGTGGCCCAGAGAGCCCACTAGTCGAGTATAGATCAATGAACGTTGGTGATAGTGGCCCGAGATTGGCAGAGACGGGATCACAATACGAGCAGTTGATAGGATTCACCAGGGTGGGATCCTCACAAACCCCTCGAGTTCGGCACTCCAATCGAGCGGTTAGTCCTCGTCATACTAGAATGACGACCTCGGTTGTACAGACATCACCAAAGCTACGCACAAAAGATACTATCT